TATCTATCTATCTATGCCTATATCTATCTATCTATCTATCTATCTATCTATCTATCTATCTATCTATCTATCTATCTACCGATATATACCTATATATATCTACCTACCTATCTACCTATTTACTCATCTATCTATCTATATATATAAGGAGAAAGAGGACTGCGCCTTTAAGCCACAAATATTTTCGTAGGATAATATATAAAAACCGCAAATATCTTTTTCCACTTTCACCAAAACGGGTGTAAATAGAAAATAGGACAACCTTGTGTGATGGAAATGTACTCCATAAAAAGCTTTCAGAAAAAGTTTCCCCTCGGGGTCGGGTTGTATATTGGCAACAGCAGAGAACAAAGAAATGACTAAATAAAACGATGCTGCAGTATTTTTAGATATTGTTTCTGGAAGCACCGTTTCACTATCATACGATGCTATAACCATCGAATCTCGATATAGTTTGTAACAAAATGATGATTTTGGGGGTCTTCATCAGACTGGAAGTTAGGCCAAGCCGCGTGGCTCACTGGCCAGGCTCCAGGCGGCATGAGATCAGAGCAGCATTCTAAACTGAACTTGTCTATTGGTTTTGCAAAAGAAGGGAAAGGCAGCTGGAGGCCAACACTGCTACATACAGGGACCGATAGCAAGCACATGCAGCCTACCATGTCGTATGACAAAGCTCACCTTCTCGGCTCTGGTACAGCAGACTGCTGCTGATTCGCCGCTCTTTTCCACCCACTCCCGCACAAACGAATTCACCCGGCCCGACGCCTCAGCTCCACCAGGCCCTGTAGCCTGCTTTCCCAAACACACATTCACCGGATTCACGATCACCTCACCCGGACTCAGCTTCACCTTTGCCGGAAGCTGGTCTCTCGGAGGAACTGACGTCACGGCAACCTCAGAAGCTGCAACAAGGGCGGAGGCTGATGAGGCCGTCGAGGCGTGGATTGGCGGTTTTGGTTGGATACGAGGCGAACTCGCAGAATCACCAGTTCTGGTATGAGCTTTAGCCAGCGACAGACCGCCATCGGTTACCACAACTGAGGCTGCAGCGCTCTCAAGAGACTGGCTGCTGGGCAGAAGGCCGCCTGCCAGCGTGTCCTCCGCTGGCTGGTCATCTGGGTTCGCCTCGTGGGCAGTCGACAAATTGGATTCACACATATTCGCCATAGTCATGGCTGAAGGAGTCACAACAAATAAAAGAGGGGGATTTCATCAAATTCAGTAACTTCGGCAGTAGGTACAACTCGATAAACTGAATTATCAGTAGCACATCCCCTCCAAATTCTGAAAACAATATGAAGTTGACAGGGCTCGATGACTGAAAGATGATAATTGGCATCCGAAGATGTAAAGATCGAATTTGAAGTGAAGGCTAAGCTTGAAAAGGCAAAACTTTTCTACTCGCCTTCTGCTAATGTTTAGAGTTTATAGCATGATGTTATTATGCTACCAGATGCAACGTTTTGTGTACGAGCCCAGGAAGGACAGCACTTCTAAATGCTTAGTAGCTATGATTTCACACGAAAGTCATGAATTCAAGAACTACTGTTACTCTCGATTATCTAAACATATGCATGTACATGTGTATAAGCATATGAAATCGAAAATAAGAACCGTCGTCAATT